TGGTGCCATTGCCCACCTCTCAGCTGACCCACTCCCCCTCTCTCTCCTCCACAGCTTGGACCCATGTTCAAGAACACCAGTGTGGGTCCCCTGTACTCTGGCTGCAGGCTGACTTTGCTCAGGTGAGACTTAGAGTCACTGGTGCTCCCAGGCCTAAGCAGTGTGGGTGCTTCCTTCATGCCACCTGTCCTTCCTGTCCTCCTCAGAGATGGTCTCAGGAGGCATCAGCTCCAGCACCAAGGCCAACCTTAAGCCTTCCACTTCCCCTCCTGACCTGTCTCAAATTCTGTCCATCAGCGTCACTGTCCCTCGTCCCCTCCCTCCCTTCTCCCTTTGGCAAGAATGGCATTTCTTTAGATGATGGATTCTCTTGCCATGATGTATATACTTTCTATTTTTGCTTTAATCCCCAAATCCAGTTTTCCACTTGTCACCTGGGACTCACCTGTCTCCAAGCCATGAGTGTGCATTTTTATTCTCCATCTTCAGGGACATTTTCCCTTCAGCCGACTCCTCTCCAAGGGGGAGGCCGTCCAGAAGTCAGTGCACAGGATGACCAGGCTGGCTTCCCACCCTTCCAGGGCCTCCTCATTTTTATGTCATTTTTCTGCCCTACTCAGAGGTGTCTCTGGACCTTTCTCTGAAAATGCATTCATCCCCCCTCTCTCCCCAGGTCTGAGAAGGATGGGGCAGCCACCAGGGTGGACGCTGTCTGCACCTACCATCCTGACCCCGTGGGCCCCAAGCTGGACAGAGAGAAGCTGTACTGGGAGCTGAGCCCATTGACCCACGGCATCACCCAGCTGGGCCCCTACGCCTTGGACCAGAACAGTCTCTATGTCAATGGTGAGCAGGGGCCACCCTTGCTATGCTCTAGGGTAGAGCCTGTGTCCTCCACGTCTGGGCGGGCTTTGTCCTTACCCACTCATGTTCATATTCATTCTCCCCCACGCCTCTCTCCCCCTCTCCTGCTGCAGGTTACACCCACCAGGCCACAGCAACTACTCCCACTGGTAAGTCCACAGTGACCCTGTCATGGTCCCTTGACCTCCAAGGGACAAGCAGCAGACCCCTGCCCACATCTCCAGCTGTCAAGGAGGGTAGGATCCAGGTCACAGGCTGGAAAGCCAGTGGGATAGGGCTCAGATGTGATCACCTTGTGTTGACGCCTAGACACACACCAAGGTCATTAAATGTCCTGTGTGTGGAAAAACACACTAAAAGTAGGTTCAAAAACACATGAAAAATAGAGGTGTATAATAAACTATTTAATCAGAACTTTGTAGCTTCCAGATCCTTCCCTCCTTACTTGCAGCATGTGACAATCAAGTCTTGGTATAGGCATTAGGCACGAAGGATCCTCAGCCATTCCTACATCCTCACACAGTGTGCTCCTTAGTGTGAGCACCATGGCCTCAGACCCTGCCAGCCCACATCGTCCACCCCAGACTGACTCAGGGGACCTCTCCTCTCCCTCCCCTGATGCAGCCTCAGGCCCTCCCCTGGAGTCCTTCACCCTCAACTTCACCATCACCAACCTGCGC